GGGGGGGGGGGCTCCCGGGCAGCACTTCCCATGCCAAGCAGGCCTACTTTCAGAGGCCATGCCCCAGGCCTGAATTTTACAGCCCAGTCCCAATACAAGGGAGGAAAACTGCTGGAATGAGAGTGGGGGTGCTGTGGCACTGCGCATGTCAGGCCATGGTGCTGAACAGAAGATGCTGCATGCATGGAACAAAACAGGGCCCACCTAGCCCAGTGCCCTTGCTCTCTCTTTGGCTGTGGTGGCAACAAAAGAAGAGAGTGGCTGGATCGCAGCCTGATCCATCAAGGCTCATCTTAGATCTTTGCATGCTGGTGATTGTGTAGAGCTAGGAGCAGTCCAACTGCAAGCTCCCTACAGTTCAATTCTGCAGGCAAGAATAGCCCCTCACCAGTTACTTTCTTTTAACAAGTCTTGTCTGCATGACTAGATGGTGCCTCGTTCCAGATGCTCTGAAAGCTGCCACCCCGGATACGCCAAGGTGGAGAAAGAAGGACAGTCGGTCTGCTGCTACATTTGCGCTGCATGTGCCGAGGGGACCATCTCCACTCAGGAAGGTGGGTGGCTCCGCAGGAACGGGTCCCAGGGGGAGGGGGCAAAGATACACCCAGAGGGGAAACACTGGACACCCTTGCCCCAGATGGGATCACCTTGCCTAGCACAAGGCGATGAGGCTACGGGGGATTTCTTTGGTGCATCTACCCTGCTGCAGCAGGCCGGATGAAGGCAGATGAAGGCCAGATGAAGGCCCCTGATGAAAAGGTCTTTCCCAATCGATCTGCTAATCAAGCAGCCTACGGTGATTATCTGGGTGATCATTCCTCTTTGCAGGATCATCTCTACCATGTGCTTTTTAATTGTTTAAAATGTATTTTGCATTATCATTAGGGTTCTTGAATTGTAGTTTATTGTTTTATGTGTTATGGTCCCAGAGAACTTTGGCTATGGGGTGGTAGAGGCATGAAAGCAGTACAGTTAGGGTTAATGTTAATGAGTATGAACTCTATGAATCTCCATGGTTCTTCACTCAAAGAGAAGCTGGTCCCCCTCCTTCAAATTCAGGGGGGAGAGGCTCCCATCATCCCAGCAGTTGCTACAGTGGCTTCCCTGTGGGTGATGGATTTCATACCTGAGCCACCTTGGGGGTCAGTTAGGCAGGAAGGGGCCTGGTTCTATTAAGAGATGGGCAGCCAGAATGAGGGGGAGATGTTGATGAAGGACAGCGGACATCTCGGCACTCCTGCTCCAGGACGGTGTGAACAAGCTGGGCTGCTGGACCACCATCTTGTTGAGGCGGCACTGGGCAAACTGAGGCAGCCCAAGAACTCTCAGCCATAACGGCTGTGGGATGCTGCCCTCTTCTGGAGAGGTTGGAAAGTGGCTGACCAAGTGACGTCTGCCTCTCAGAGTGGCCTCTTCTGGCTGAGGTAGGGCATTCCTGTCCATTGCCCCAGGTGATGCTTGGGTAGCTTCCTGGCCACAGTCTGTGTCACTCCTTGAGGCTTTTCTGAATAAGATTTATTCTAAATAAACCTAATACAAAGAAAAACTAAAAACATCAATCATCAGAAGCATCAGACCTACTGGGTCAGCCCCCCACATTTTTTCTCTTTATGTTAACTTATAAATGTATTTAAATCTATGTGAAGCCCCGTTTCTCTAGCCAATAATAAAAAGAGTCCCAAGTTTGATAAAAGTCAGTTATCTTAAGACTTTTCATCTTCTCTTCCTTGCCCCTTGCCTACCTCTTTGCACTCCTTTCTGGTAAATCTTATTTTTACCTCCATGGACTGGGTCCCTTCCAGTTCAACTCAGTCCCAATTTCAGTGCCTCAGCTCAAGGGACCAGCTCTCTAAGCACCTTTCTGGTAGGAGAAGCAATCATGCAAGGCTGCGGCTTCCCACTTCTTTCAGTTCTTCCTCAACCCATCCGGGAGATTTTCCTACATTCGGCCGCAGTTCAGGATTCTGGGTCATGGGCACCTACAGGGACAGTCTGCCCTGTCTTCCTGCCAGGCAGGTTGGATGATTATGCCCTTCCTACATTCTTTCCATTAATAAAGGAGCTCAAATTGGTATGAATGTGAGAGACAGGTGAGCAATGCTGATTCCATTCTCCTCCTCCTCAGATGCAGAAAGCTGTGCCAGGTGCCCAGAAGATCAGCATCCCAATGTAGCCCAGGATCAATGTATCCCCAAAGTTATTGACTTCCTGTCCTACAAAGAGCCTTTGGGCATCACCCTGGCTTCCTTGGCCCTGTTCTTGTCCGTAAGCACGGGCTCTGTGTTAGCAATCTTAATCCTACACCAGGACACTCCAGTTGTAAAGGCCAACAACCGGGACCTCTCCTACATTCTCCTCATCTCCCTCCTGCTTTCCTTTCTCACCTCCTTCCTCTTTATGGGCCAGCCAAGGAAAGTCACCTGCCTCCTCCGACAAACAGCCTTCAGCATCATCTTCTCGGTCTCTGTCTCTTCTGTCTTGGCCAAAACGATCACTGTGGTGTTGGCCTTCCTAGCCACAAAGCCAGGCAATAAGGCCAGGAAGTGGCTGGGGAAGGGTCTGGCCAATGCTATTGTACTGTCCTGTTCCGTCGTTCAAGCTGCCATCTGCACCATCTGGCTGGGGATGTCTTCTCCATTCCCAGAGGCCGACATGCACTCCCAGGCTGGACAGATCATCCTGCAGTGCAACGAAGGCTCTGTGGCCATGTTCTACACTGCCCTCGGCTACATGGGCTTCCTGGCTGCCGTCTGCTTCACGGTGGCCTTCCTGGCCAGGAAGCTTCCTGGGACCTTCAACGAGGCCAAGCTGATCACCTTCAGCATGCTGGTCTTCTGCAGCGTCTGGGTGTCCTTCGTGCCCACCTACCTGAGCACCAAGGGCAAGTACATGGTGGCCGTGCAGGTCTTCTCCCTCATGGCCTCCAGTGCAGGACTGCTGGGCTGCATCTTTCTTCCCAAGTGCTTCATCATTGTATTTAGACCTGATCTTAATACAAAGGGGCATCTCATGCAGAAAAGTGTAGGTAGGGTCTGACCCTAATTCAGCCCCATCAGAACTGAGACCAGAGCCGAGCTTGCTGTAATGGACAGGGCAACACTTTGGAGATGATCTTGAACCTGCTGAAATCTCATGGATTCCAATCTCATGCTGATCTGCTAATTTAGGGCCTTTTCTGTGTCAGTGAGGGGGAGGACTTGTGGGCGGAAATGCTGCTTTGATCCATAATATGCTACATAGTATGGGACTAGTATACCTATAGATTCCCCAGGCAACTGCTTGGCCACTGAGTGAGGAGTCTGGACAGCCCTTGCATGGCTCTTGGCCTAGTCCTGCATGGATTTGCACACATTCTGACGCTGGGCTTCCACCAATGCCATTTCTCCCTGACGTTCAGTAATCCCAATGAATCCATCATTCCCTCAAAAGTCTGTGCTCACAATGCTGCACAGCTTTCCCTTTTGTAACTCTTCTCCCATGACCACCTTAGCAAATGCCTGCTTCTTGTAGCTTCCTCCGTTCCCCTTTGTGTGACCTTCAACATCTTGCCATAGTTCAACTTAATGACCAAACTTATGCTCTCTCTACTAGATGATACTTTATGCCTAGCTCAGAAAACTTTAGGCTGTCACTCTGAGAGGGGAGTTTAGGACAACTGCTCTGGTGATACACTAGCAAGGTGATGAAAAGCGACTAAATACACAGTGCATATGTGTATGTAAAGTTTTCAGCTTCTTCATTTTCCTTCCATCCAAACTTTGATGGAGCCACTCCATGGTAGCCCACACTGCCTGAAGCATCCAAGAGCTGAGCAGGGCTGTCAAGGACAGGCCATTGTCCAATGGACTCATCTATCCATGGGGTTGCTATAAGGTGGAGACAGCTTGACAGCACAACACAACCACATTCCCCTTCGGGACACGTTAGAGTTTATCCTTGGCATGCATGCAGAAGCTGTGTTTCCCAGCTGGCAGCTGCCTCCAAGTCCTGGCTTGGTGGCACTTTATACTGGGAAGTCGCAACACGGAGTGTCCCCTCACCTGAAGGATAACCGGAGGAGAGGCACAATGGCTGCTGCATATGCCATGGAAGTTATGCTGCTGGGCTTGATTGCTGGCAAGTGCCCATGAATGGTGGGCCCACCACCAGGAACTCGGACTCAGGGTGGCGACAGAGTGGACGGGAGTCCTGGGAGCAAAATGTCTAACGGTCTAAATGACATCAGTGAGGAGTCAGCTGCAGTGTTCTGTAGGGAAAGCTGGAGTTGTTAAGACAGCCCCAAGATATTGTAAAACACCCAAATGTTTAAACACCAGATGGTCAAAGTAACTTTGGGGCACTACGGTCAAGATAACTTTGACAGGAAGCACCTGAATGATTGCTCCTGCTGAAGGTACTTTGCTGTTATTGTGTTTATGTTTTATCCTACTAATCAGTAGTTCCATTTTTTATTGCAAAGATGCTGATTCTGGCTGGGAATGGACTATTCTGTATCGCTAGTGCACACTTTCCATATAGAGGAGGTTTCCCTCCTTCTTTTTCTAAGGTTTTGCTGGTGTTGCCTGCCTCTCCCACAGTCAGACAACAAACCAAGGAGATTCTTTTGCCCTGAGCAGGCACACCACACAAAGCTTCTCCAACACAGAATATAATTTATTGAATTAGTCTGAATACCATATCTGAAGACAAAACAAGGTAAAATCTGTTTAAAATTCTACATAAAAAGCAAATATAGATCAATACCTATGGAAAAAGAATAAAATACATTCTAAAATGCCGCAAAATATTATATGTCAAGGACTGCATTTAACATGTGGCCTTTACTAAACAAAAGAATTAAGTTTAAAAGGCTCTGAAAAGCAGTAAAATTTAAAAATGGAAGTAGTACATGCCAAAAGGGGTTTTATGTCCTCATAGTTCAAAATTCCCACCATTTATCTTTTTTCAGAGGCTGGAAGTCTTTACTTGAAAAGGAAGACAATTTTTTATCTATCAATTTATATCCTGCCTTTTTCCTACAAAGGGCTCAAAGCAGCTTACATCATTCTCCTCCTCCATCTTATCCCCACAACAACCCTGTGAGGTAGGTTGGGCTGAGAGTCTGTGACTGGCCCCAAGTCACCCAGTTGGCTCCATGGCTGAGTGGGACTAGAACCCAGATTGTCTGAGTCCCAGTCCCGCATTCTTAACCACTACACCACACTGGCTCTCAGTGTAGTTTTTGAGATATTGATCAGTTCCTTGTAGCAGGTGACTTTTTCTCACTTCCTAGCATTTCATTTTCATTAATACAAGCTCTCTAATATACATTCATTTACAACCCCCTGCCTTTCATTATGCTTTCCCTTCCACAAGGATTAATTCATTGGAAATAAAATTTCTAGCTATTAAAAATGTATTTCAATCTCTGCAAGATAGTGTGTCTATGTGTATGACACCCACCTGTGTGTACACACCTGTGTATAACTTTTGACCTATTCCAAAAGAGCGTAAAACAGCCAGAACATTTTCTTGGGCTTTTCCCCAGTGTGAATTTCCTGGAGCCTATTAAGTTCAATTTTATCGGTATTAAGAGCATTCCTACTGATTCACTCTTACTGAGATTATTTGATGTGATTAACCACACCTTGCTCTTAATCTCCCTCGGTATACTTATGCCAAAACATTCAAATCATTTGCACCATGAAGCTTCTTTGATGTAAAGATGTGAGCATGTCCCAAGCTCCCTTTATACTATAAATACTAAGTTTTTCCTGCCTCAAACTTATAATTAGAGTCCGATAGGTCTGAGGGAGCTGTTAACCAAGAAACAGTCTGGGGTAAACTGACAGTACACATACGTCTGAGCTGGGTTCGGCAAGTGCAGCTGAATCTCTCTCATTGGCAATCACAGCTGGGCCTTCCTCCTCATACGTTGGCCCTTGTTCCTGAGCCGACACTTCCTCATGCATATCCCTTGGGCAAAAGGGGGTTCTGGGAGTTAGGTGGGTTCTGCTACCATGGCTCTGAGCGTCCCACCGGATGCATTGCCACTGGTCTGCTTGGGAGCCATTGGTGGTAGAAGGAGAGTTTGGAAGCACATCAGGGTTCTGGACATGTTGGAAAGGGTTGTTTGGAAGTTCAGATGAGGCACAGTTCTCAGGTTGCTGCAGGTCTACCTCAGAAGAGGATTCATTTGAAGAATCAGATTCCTCCTCTTCCGAAGATGTCTCCCTGTGAGTTTTTAGATGTGATGTCAGGTACTCCCTTCGATTGAAGCTCTTCCCACACTCCAGACATTTAAACGGTTTCTCCCCTGTGTGAATTCTTTGATGCAAAGAAACATAGGCCCTCCGACTGAAGCGCTTGCCACACACTGTGCATTTGTATGGCTTTTCTCCTGTGTGAGTAGTTTGATGTAATGCAAGCGCTGGTTTTAGACTGAAGCACTTCCCACATTCCAAGCATTTGTATGGTTTCTCCCCTGCATGAGTTACCTGATGTAAGGAAAGGTATGCCTTCCGGCTGAAGCTCTTCCCACACTCTGAGCACTTAAATGGCTTCTCCCCAGTGTGGGTAGTTAAATGTAAAGTAAGGGAGGGTTTCAGACTGAAGCTCTTCCCACACTCTGGGCACTGATAGGGTTTTTCCCCTGTGTGGATTCTCTGATGGCAATTGAGGGCGCTGCTCTGGCAGAATCCCTTCCCACACTCCAAGCACTGATAGGGTTTCTCCCCAGTGTGTATGCTTTGATGGGAATTAAGGGCATACTTGCGCCTGAACCTCTTGCCACACTCCAGACATTTATACAGTTTTTCCCCAATGTGAATTATTTCATGGGCTCTCAGGGCACCCTTCTGCCTGAAGCTCTTTCCACACTGCAGACACGTAAATGGTTTCTCTCCTGTGTGAGTTCTTTGGTGACTAGTAAGGCTGTGCCTGCGATTGAAGCTCTTTCCACACTGTGAACACTGAAATGGTTTCTCTCCTGTGTGATTTCTTTGATGGGAGATAAGGCTGTCTTTCCGTCTGAACCTCTTTCCACACTCTATGCATTTAAATGGGTTCTCTCCAGTGTGAATTCTCTGATGACTAGTAAAGCTTTGCCTATGAATGAATTGCTTTCCACACTGCAAACATTCAAATGGTTTCTCTCCTGTATGAATTATCTGATGTGAAATGAGGCCATACTTATGTCTAAAGCTCTCTCCACACTCCAGACATTTAAATGCATTCTCCTCTGCATGAATTCTCTGGTGACTAGTCAGGCTTGGCTTGAGACGGAATCTCTTTCCACACTGTAAACATTCAAATGGCTTCTCTCCTGTGTGAATTCTTTGATGTGCAGTAAGGTCAAACTTGCGGTTAAAGCTCTTTCCACACTCCAGGCACTGAAATGGTTTCTCTCCTGTGTGGATTCTTTGATGGGAAATGAGAGTTGAGTTCTGTCTGAAGCTCCTTCCACAATGCAAACATTTATATGGTTTCTCATCTGTGTGGATTCTTTGATGGGAATTAAGCAGAGAGGCCTGACTGAAGCTCTTTCCACACTCCAGACATTTATACGGTTTCTCCTGTGTGTGAGTAGTTTGATGGGAATTAAGGATTGAAGCCTGTCTGAAGCATTTTCCACACTGCAGACATTTAAATGGCTTTTCCCCTGTGTGAGTTCTTTGATGAACTTGAAGGGCACCACTCTGGGAGAAACTCCTTCCGCATTCTAGGCATTTAAATGGTTTCTCCCCCGAGTGAATTCTTTGATGGATAGTAAGTGCCCCCTTTTGACTAAATGCTTTCCCACACTCCAGACAGTTAAACGGCTTCTCCCCTGTGTGTGTTCTTTGATGGGAGATTAGTACTCTACTCTGCTTGAAGCTTTTTCCACACTCAAGGCATTTGTATCTTTTCTCCATTCTCTCGATTGCCCAATGCCTGTTAATATGTCATCAAGCCTCTTTTCCAAACACAAGGCATTTTCTGCGTTTGTCTTCCTTAAGTGCTTTTCGCTGTACTGTAATCCTATGGAGATCAACCTCCAGACAAGCGATGAATTTCTTTCTATTTTTATTTCATTTCTTTCTGCCTTGCTTTCCTTGGGTGCTTGATATGCTCTGATATTTGTTTTCTCTCATACATCCCCAGCTAAAAGAAAGACAGAAACAGAGCATGAGAACAAAGAAGGCACTTTCAAATCAGAGAATTCACCTGTTTCTAATCCTTGGAAGGGAACTACCAAATCCAAAACCAGGAGGGTGGGCATCGAAGTGGCAAATGTGGTTTTATGTAACCAAGTTTAAAGTGAAGCACATTGGAACAACAACACAGAGTCATTGGTATATATATTGTTTACATTTTTATGAACTTTAATTGATTTTAAACTGCTAAATTTTGTTGTATTTTATGGATTCCTTTATTGCACTGCTGATTTTTAATGTCATGTACACTGCAGAGAGAGCCCTAAATTGTACTATAAGTTGTGGTATATAAATTTAAAAATAATTAATCAAACCTTGACGCCACACTTACTCTCAAGCCCATGGACACCCACAAGAATTGACAGGAAACTAGAAAGGCATCAGCTCCAATGGCAAAGATTTTAAAGGTTTTACACTGTCCTTCCCCATTAAAGCAAGTGCTCCAAGATCACCGCAGACGGGGACTGCAGCCAAGAAATTAAAAGACGCTCCTGGAGAGGAAAGCTATGGCAAATCTAAGCAGCATACTAAAAAGGAGAGACATCACCCTGCCAACAAAAGTGCGTGTAGTCAAGGCTATGGTTTTCCCAGTTGCAATGTATGGCTGTGAAAGCTGGACCATAAGGAGGGCTGAGCGCAAAAGGATTGTGACCTTTGAATTGTGGTGCTGGAGGAGACTCATGCGAGTCCCTTGGACCGCAAGGCGATCAAACTGGTCAGCCCTAGAGGAGATCGACCCTGACTGCTCTTTAGAAGGTCAGATACTGAAGATGAAACTTGACTACTTTGGCCACCTAATGAGAAGGAGGGACTCCCTGGAGAAGAGCCTAATACTGGGAACAATTGATGGCAAAAGAAGGAGGGGACGGCAGAGGATGGGGTGGCTGGATGGAGTCACTGAAGCAGTTGGTGTGAGCTTGAGTGGACTCCGGGGGATGGTGGAGGACAGGAAGGCCTGCAGGAGTGTTGTCCACGGGGTCACGATGGGTCGGACGCAACTTCACGACTAACAACAATAACAACAACAACAAGCCATGGAAAGAAGTTAAAAGGGACCTTGATAAAGGCATCCTCTGTATCCCTTTAGTTGAGCTCAAAAACAAAATATGGAGCTGGTGTGGGCAGCTGGAAAATACCTACTCCAGCGAGGGCTACCTGTCAGAGTAGACAATTTTGGCTTAGGTGGAGCTAGGCGAATCAGGTTTTATTTTTAGCTGTGTCCTGTACTCTTGGTAAACATCAAGGAATACTGGTGAATGTGCTCTGAACATGGATTCCTGACACCAGCCTGTCAGCTGTAGTCTGAATCAGTTGCAATATATAAACCCTCTTCAAGGACAGCCCCATGTGGAGCACGGCACAGTAGTCCAACCTTTTTTTTTTAAATAAGTTTTATCTGAAATTATAATCCTAAAAAACAAAACAAAAACTACAAACAACATCCATCATCAAAAACATCGAGCCCACTGGGCCAGCCCCCACACCCTTCTCTTTCCATTTATGATAACTTACAAACATATTTAAATCTATGCAAAGTCCCGTTTCTCTAGCCAATAATAAATCTCAAACCAATATCAATTCTCTAGCCAATATCAAACTTGGGACTCTTGATAGAATGCACAGTAGTCCAACCTTAATACTGACAAGGTACGGAGAACGGTGTCAAAGAGGTGCAGTGAGGCAGGTTCCCTTAGGAATGTAGTGGATAAGTAGAGCTGATAGCCAGAGCCAGTGGGGGCTTGGGAGATCCGAGTTTTACTCCCACTCCACCATGAAGCTCACCGAGTGATTTTGGGTCAGCTGTGGACCTCCTGCCTAACCTACCTCACAGGGTTGCTGTGTTGAGGTATGTAACATGGTGCTGTGTAAGCTGCCTTCGGTCCCTCGCAAGAAGAAAAAAGGTACGCTGTCAATGCAATGTAATAAAAAGAACAAGAACTGACCTTTTTCAAGGAAAGGAAAAAGACGTTCACTCAGGGAGGCCACGTAACTTAATTCCTCACTGCAGCTCCCTTGCGCAGGGCCTCTGACCTGCATCCAGCAGGGTCATGTCTTCCTTGGTGAAATGCACAAGGGTGCTGGGAGGGAGGGAAAAAGAAAAGCAGGAATGCATGCCTTACATACATGTATTCAGCTGCTGTGGGAAAACCAAAGCTACCTATTATTACAACACTTCTACATGCTGTGCCCCCAGTGTTTGTTCTCCATCTCAAGATTATGAGAAAGCATGTTCCTAGGACTAAATGAGGTTTGGAGCCCGGCATTGCCAGCCAGAGTACTTCTGTGGAGGAGTCTGCATTTTCAGATTTTGAAGTCTGGAGCACATCCTCCAGTACACCCTTGTTTTTCCTTTGCACAGAGTTTATATGGAGAGATGACTGCATTGGGCTGTGAAATGCAGTGGAGTATATTATCAGTGTCAGAGGCAGTGTGTAGAGTGGTTAGAGTGCTGGACTGGGGCTTAGAAGAATTGGGTTGTAACCCCCACAGGCTATGATGCTCCTTGGACCTATCTAAACCATTTGCTGACTCTTAGCCTAACTTCTCGGGGTTGCTCCAATATGTTGCAGTCACTTGGCCCTGAATGGGCAGTTCCAAACCATAAGCTTTCAACAGATCTGCTCCCGGTGGAGATGAAAATGCTTAGAACTGGCCCCTTGATCTGGATTAACACAGCTGCCTGCCATTTATATATTCCTTGGAGGGTATGTTGAGCGCTGCCCCCCACTAAAAGAAAAGTTCAGAAACAGGCAACTGTTCTGCATTCTCCCACTTGAAGACACATGAAAATGTTTCCTTCAGCTTTTTTGCAATCTCCTAATCCTCTGCTAGTGCTCCTTTAATCCCATTATTATCCAGTGGTCCAACTGCTTCTCTAGCTGGTTTCTTTCTGTTGATATGTTTAAATAATCCTTGATTGTTGGCCTGGATGGTGCTGGCATCCTGCCCCTGAAATGCTTCTCTTATTTTTTTGCTTGCTTCCTTGCACACACTTGTGCTTACTTCCTGGAACCAAGGTTCCATTTAGATGCCAGGAAGCACTTCCTGACAGTTAGGACCCCGAGGGTGTGGAATGGGCTTCCAGGAGAGGTTGTTAAGGCCCCATTGGTGACAGCGTTCAAAGATAGGCTGGACATGCACATGGTGGGCATGTCATGAGCGGAGCTGGCTGGAGCCAGGGGTCAGACTAGATGGCCTGGGAGACCCCTTCTGATTCGCTCTGTTTCTATGATCTGGGAAATGTTTCCATTCCTGAAAAGGAAGCCTTAGTTGCTGTAATAGCTTCCTTGACTCTATGCATTAACCATGCTAGTGATGTCTTGGACTTCATGCAAACTTTCCTAACTTGTATGCATTCCGTCAAAGCTTTTATTATTGCAGTTTTGAAGAATCTCTACGTTTTTGGAAGGTATTTAACCCACTTGATTCCCATCTTTAATTTCTTTCCTTTCCCCACAGTTCCCTTATTTTAGAGAGGTTCCATGTTTGAAGTCAAATGTGACGGGGTGGGACGTCCTTAGCTACCTTCCACTTAACTGCATATTCAGTCTAATAGCGCTGTGGGCAGTTTCCAGTTTTACATCCCCGACTAGGCCCTGTGCAACCCCTCCCAGGCCTAAATCCAGGATTGCCTCCCCTTCGGTTGCTTCCATGACCAGTTGCTCCAGGGCACTGTCATTTACGAATTCGAGGATTTAGGAATTCGAGGACTCAGAACTGGAACATGCATTTATCCTGTCGGTGTGCGGGATAGTTGAAGTCGCCCGTTCTTACAGTATTCCCATTCTTACTTCCCATCACGAGAGCACCTTTTGCTTTCTGCTCTGGGGGACGATCGCGGACTCCCACAACTACGTCAGCTTCGGAGCCAGGGATTTCCACCCATGGTGCTTCCGTGGAAATCCTTTAGATCGTTAAGCCAGCCAAACTCGATGCCCTCCCTAACACACGGGGCAGCGCCCCCTCCAGAGCGCCGTTCCCTGTCCTTCCTATACAACTGATACCCAGGGCTGACCGTACCCCGCCGGTCCCTCCGCTCCACCAGGCTCCTGTCCCGCCCGATCTCTCTCTGGGCGCTGGTTCCGAGGCGGGGACCGGGAGGGGGTTCCCCTCGCTCCCCCAAAGCGACTTCTCGCGGCCTCCTCCCCGCCCCGTGCGGCCCCCTCACCTCTTCGCCGCTGGCCCTTCCCTCCGGCCGGCCGGCCGCCCCACTCGTCGCCAAGATCCCTCCCAGCCCCACTTCCCTTCCGGGAATACAAAGGAGAGGGCACTTCCGGGCGCTCCCCCTCCCCCCAGTGGGAACTTCCTACCTCTCTAGGAAGCGGCGCTCGGCGCCCTTAACCCTTGAGGGGCTGAGGGCAGAAGCTGCCGGCCCCTTTCCAGCTGCCCCTTCTCCGGACTCCTCGTCCGGCTGCGGGGCGGCGTCCCGAGGAGGGGCCGGAAGGGTGGGGAGAGAGGCCGCGGAGGCATCGGACGCGGGCGGGGAGGCCGGCTGGGCTTCCGCGCCTTCTCTTCGGAGGCTCCAGCCTGCTGGACTATATCCCACCTAGCCGTGGCAAGTGGCTGCGGATCATGGGACTTGCAGATGGGGGAAGGCCGCATTGGCTGTTTCTACCCCAGTTTCTTTCCGGAGAAGTCCGAGTCTACTTCACGGTCCAGCTTCGGTCGCCGTTCCCTCCCCTCCAGCTCAAGGGTTAATAAACTCAGCTCCGATTCCTAGAGAGACAGGAGGTTCCGCCCTGGGGAGGGACGGTCCTCGGAAGTGTCCCTCTTTCCTATATCCGGAAGGGAAATCGGGCTGCGCAGGGTACCCGGCGAGGGGGAGCGGTGGCTCGAGCGGGAGGAAAGAGGTGAGGGGGCGGCGGTGTTTCGGGGGTGCTGGCGAAGGACGGAGGTGCTGAGAGGTTGCTTTGGGGGGAAAGAAAAGCCCGCCTTTCGGAATGATAGCCGGGGGGGGGGGGACCCCGGGACGTGCCCGCTGGCGGGGGCAGGGAGCGCGCGCGGAGGCGCTTGCGGTAATTGAGGCGCTGGGGGACGCGCGGGGCCGCGCAGGCGCGGGGGGGGGGGCAGGCCGGGGAAGGAGAGTCCCCGCAGTCAGCCCGGCCAGCTCGAGTTATAGCCCCAAGTCGAGGAAAGGATAGTGGTGGGTGGCTGCTGGTGGGAAAGTCTGGCTAAATCCTGGCAGAAAAACGTTGCCTATATGTGCTTTTGTGCTATAAAGTCAAATCTGCCCTCCTGAAAAGCACCAGCTGCCCAAGCCGAGTCACTGTTTAAAATGGCATTCCTCCCCCCTCCTTTCTCTTGCTCTTCTTCTCACCTCTAGCTGTAAGCCAGAGTAGACAGGCCATTCAGTCGAGTGTACATTATATACATTCACAATGTCGTTAAATAATCTATAGGAATTCAGTTTACCAAGAAGTACCTATTTGCTAGCCCAGAGGGCACCATGCGCCCTGGCCAGTCAAGATGGTACAGAACCATTACTCAGGGTCTGAGTCTAGATGAGCATACGAGTTCATGAATGGTTGGTTTCTCGGTAGCCTGAATTTATATGTCTAAGCAGACCTGCTGATGGGCTTCAAGTTTCTGGAAGTTACGCAACTGAAGTGTCAATACACTGCTGATCTTCCTTTATCTGTTCTGTATATGATGATCTCAGAATTTCATTGTAATGTCTGCATTCTGTCATCAATTGCTCTTTTCCTGTGTATGTAACCGGGAGAGTATAAAATATCCTGTAATTGTATTGAAACCTCACAGTCGAGTTTACCTCTGCCTGCCCAGTAATGCATTATCGTGAGTCGAACCACGGAAACCTGGGCTAAATAATAAAGCAGCAGATGGTCTGAACACTTGATCTTTCCCACAAACCCAGTTTTATCTCCTCACAAATTGAAATTCCGGGATTCTGTCACTACCTGCCGCCTAATCCATATTCACAACACCCCGGGGAGGGAGGCTGCAGCTTCCCCTGGACTACATATTTGGTCGGTGGCCTAAGAGGCTGGTCATTCTCTCAGACAGACTGACTTAGCTCCCTTGGTTCTTGCAAAGGGGACAGGATCCTGTGTGAGAACTGTGAAATATTAAGAAAAGCAGTCTTTTTTCCCTCCCCGACAGAGTGGCTCTGGGGATCTGATGCCCCAGTCTGACTTTCCAACCTGAAGAAAAGGAGGAAGACCTGCTTGTACAGGAGACAATGACAGGTAGGTTCTCAGATATATCATGAGACTGTGTCAAACCTCAGTCAGCTGGTGAATTTCCACCATTCTTTTTTACATCCCCCAGAACAAAGTAGAGTTTTGAAGCTTTTTGTTTTCCTGCAGATATGTCTAGTTATCTCCTGCACTTTGTTCTTGAGAGTTTGTTTGCAATATTCCACATGCTCTGCCAATGTTATTTCAGGTAAACTCTTAGCACTAATGTTATTGTGAGTTTACTTCTTGGAGTGATATGACCAAAAAGTGACAAATAAATATGCAAAGTTGCCATGGTCGTTATTTTCATTTCTATTCTGCCCAATAGCCAAACTGTTTGGGAGGTTCACCATAATTCATGTGTATAGATGCAGTAGTAAACATGGGTAAAATAAAAATACAGATGCAATCAAATACAATGTCCAATTCCAATATGATAAAGTAAATCAGTTTTTAAAAAGCTAAAATTTCAATTAAAAGAAGACCGCTTCATTGTTGAGATGTTTTTTCGTATGCCATTAAATGCCTGAGAATAGAAGGTAGTTTTAAGCTGATGCTGAAAGGATGGCAGTGTTGGTTCCAGGTGGGCCCCAGTGGCATTCCATTATTCCTGAAAAGGCGATTTTTCTTAATACCTCTCTCCAAGCCTTCCTTGGAGGTAACAATCTGGGGAAGGCCTCAGAGAAAGGTCACAGTGTCTGGGTAGACTGAGGTTGGGATAAACATTCTGTCAGGTCCCAATCCATGCAGGGCTTTCTGGGTTAGGACCAGCCCCTTGAACTGGGGTCAGAAAGATATAAGCAGCAGACTGGAATTGGTTTTAGATGTTTAGATATTTTGCTCCCACTGATAATTCAAGATGCTGCATTTGCACAAAGGCAGCTCCATGCAGAGTGTACAATGCACACTTGTGCATTGCGGAGTCTTAACTTTAAACATGATAGATTTATTCTGTGCAGTCTCCTGTGTGCGTTTTCTTTAGTTTAACAGGGCTAGAATTTGATCACAGGGCTATCAAAACCTCTGATGTCTACTTAGTGGTAGCATATCCCTGAGATCCCTGGTAGTGGTGCTTGCCAGCTTTACTACACCGGAGATCCTTTTCCCTTGACATTTTGGGGTTTGAACCTGGGACGTTGTGTGTACAGAGCATGGGCTCTGTTTCTGAGTGATTCCCAGCATACAAAGGCAAGGGTGCAGTTCGTCATGACCATCAGTAAGCGTGTGCCCAGTGGACACTGGATTACCATAAGATTTACGTAACATTCTGTTTATTTAAAAGCTCTTACTTGCCACTTATAAGTCAAATGGCTCCTTCAGGCAGTATACAAAATTTAGAAAACATCAATAGTGTAGTGAGGAAACTTGTTTTACTACAGTTCTTCATGCCGCAGCCAAAATTTGTATCTTGCTGGTAATGATGTACCTCTGCCTGATAGGATATTCAGTGGACCAGCTCGTCGAGTGCCAGATTTGGGAGGAAGTGGAGGGTTGGGTGCATGGGAAGAGAGGGCAGGAAGCAGTCTAGCTGGAGAGTCCTGGCTCAGTTCTGAGAATCCGGAAAGTGTGCATGAGCTGCTGGCTTGCACAGAGCATGGCCTTGCACAGCTGCCAGCCATCTCTCTTCCTTCTTCTGGAAGTTTCTTTCCAGAAGCAGAGGGGCAAATTCTCTTGCCTATCAGTGTGCTGAAGTTGCAGCAGCCTCTCCAAATGAAAATGAACATGATCTTGGAAAGTATTTTGATTTCCTCCGCTGTTTTTGAAGCTCTCTTTTCACTCATCTATCTTTGAGCCTGCTTCTTTCCAGAGCAGAGGACAATATATAATGTTTAACATCAACATTGCTAGAGTTTTATCTTTCCTATTATCCCTTAAATTTTCTTTGGAATCCTTTCTCTTGATCTTTCAAGTTTGTATTGTGACCTCCAATAAAACTAAAGAGAAAAAGACTAGAGAACAGAAAGTAAAGGAAAAATGTATTTTGTTTACATTTTACCAAATTGGTGGGCATCCTGTGACAGTTAATTCCACAGCTTAACTATCTGCTGCATGCAGACATATTTCCTTTTATCTGTTTTAAACCTCCACCACTCAGCTTCATGGGATGTCCCCAGGTTCAAGTATTATGGAAGAGGGAGAAAAATGCCTCCCTCTGTACTTTCTCTGCACTGTGCATTATTTTGAATGCCTCTACCATCTCTCCCCCTCAATTACCAATTTTCTAGGCTAATTGGCCCTGGATAGAACAAGAAAGCTGCTCCATCTCCTGATCCATTTCTGTTGCCCTTCTCTGTCCTTTTTCCAGGACATTTCAGTAATGTCCTTTTTCAAGTAAGGAGACCAGAACTGAACACAATATTCCAAGAGTAGTTGCACCAAGGATTGGTAAAAGGGCAGTTCTGTTTTCTATTCTATTCCTAGTTCTTTCTAGCAGCAAGTTTGCCTTCTTCACAGCAGTTGAGCACCAGGCCGACATTTTCATCCAGCTGCCCACCACTACCCACGATCCCTTTCTTGCTCAGTCACTGCAAATTCAGATCCGCTCAGTGTATACCTGAAGCTGGGAGTTTTTGCCCCAGCATGCATTGCTCTACACTCCCTTATGTTGAACGGCACTTGCCATTTTGATGCCTCTTCTCCCAACTCCTTGGAGCCCAGTCACTGGAGGTTGAGATGACCTGACCAAGTGAAGAGACACTGGAGAAGCTGGCTCCTAGCCAGAACGCAGGAGCATTCCTATATATGCCGGGCAAGAGCCGCTCGCGTTGCCTGTGGACCAAGGTGCAGGAACTGCCTTTGATGCTGTGCGTAAGAGACGGCTGTCTGCAGCCACACACACAGCCAGCGCCCCTGCCTGCTGAGGGACACGGAAGAGCACCATACAAGCCCCCAGCTGTGCAAGGGGCACCCCTCATTCCAGGGGAAGCCTTACATGTATGGAAGGACCTGGCTGAGGAGCCCAAGTGTGAGATGGATCGATTCCATGATGGAAGCCCCAGCTTTGGGTTTACTGGAACTCAGCAGGGTGGTCAAGGATAGGACCTCCATTCCTCTTGGGGGGCCTCCATTCATCTTGGGGGGCCTCCATTCATAAGGTTGCCGTAAGTCAGAGAAGGCCCAGCCTAGACAGAGCGATCCAGCAAGGAGCTGAATCTGGAAACAGCCTCTGCAAGGAGATGTTAAAAGGTTCAGGACAGACAGTGGGCTCTGGACAGAGCACCCAGCAAGCCGGGTGACTCATTCAGTCAGAAAACTACATGCACACGGTTTGTTAGCTATTTGGCCAGAGGTGCACAGCCATCCACCAGGTGGGTCCATTTTGGGTATCTGGCAGAGCCGCAGGCGCTTGTGACGACCAACTGTTTTCCGTGCCTCCTGGACAAAGCAGGAGCACAGCCGTCAACATATTCAACACATTCTGCTCACCCACATTCCTGTCCTCCTGAACTCACGCCAGCCTTCCCACTCTTGGCAGCAGCTTCTTCAAGAGCTCCTGCTGAGAGCATCGCACCACTTCCAAAGCGGAGTCCATCGCATGTGCCTGTCACGAGAACCCTCCAAGAGCTAGGGCCTTCCCTTTCCGCCAAGAACCCCTGAATCCTCTCCAGGCCAGAAAAAACGCCACAGGGCAGGCAGCCCTGGCCAGAATGGCCCAGACGAGCCTGTTATCCATATCCTTCCCCCTGTCCCCATCTTTTCTGATGGGAATTACAGGAACAGGAAATTACTGTGATGGGAATTACAGGAACAGGGATCCTCACCAAGAGAGGCCAAGTGCTCGGGATTCTCTGTCATGGTTCCCTTGGACAGACACCCCTGTGCTCATCCAGCAGGGGTTGCTCCTCCTTGGTGAAATGCAGGACCACCTCCTCAAGGGGCACACCAGGAGCTGAAAGAGGGGAAAGGGAAAGAATGCATTGCATGCGACATACAGCTAGTTGTGTCATTCATTTAGACCATAAATTCTATTCCACTTTATGGTAAGCCATTAAAAACTAGTTTGTTCACACAGTGAATATGGCCATAAAAGCACAGTACATTAATCACTAGTAAGTCACCTCATTCTGACCGGTCGCCCTGCAGGGAAAGGGTGACGTCTACAGCACACATCTGAAGAGCAAGGCTGAAGATGCCTGCTTCAGGGAATGTGTTCCCGATGGCAGATGCTGGAACATGAAACTTAAGAGGTATTCCAGAGGTGAACCTCAGGACCATGGGATGGGGTTCCATCAGATCGTCTCCTGAGGACCACAAATCCATCACTTAGAACAACCAACAATGGCAAATAGTAAATTTGATCTTTATTACTCCACACAGAAGAAAAATCCCTTTGCCTTAAAAGAGTTTTGTAGGTTGTAGCTATGACCCGAAAGAGATTTTGGTCACTTTGGATGATTATCTGAATAAGCCAGGAGGGTGTTGCCAGTACTTCTTTGTTCCAGGATGACTCACATCAATTGCAACCCAATATCAACTGCAAAGAGATGACTGGACTCACAATTCTGCACTGGGCTTCTCCTGCCAGGAGTATTTCCCCCACCCTCCACCATTCTTGTTTCACATCACAGAGGAATCAAGAAAAAGCAGAGCTGGAAGGGGCCACAAAGGCCATAGGGTCCAGCACCCTGTTCAGTGCAAGACTCCAGTTAACCATTCCTCTCAGATGGCTGTCTAGCTGCATCCTGAATGCCTCCAGTGTGGGAGAGGCCACAACCCCCCAAGGTCATTGGTTCCACTGTTGTACCACTCTCTACAGACAAGAATTTTTTCTTGGTATCTAGTCAGAATCTGGCTTCCTGTAACTTGAGCCTGTTATTCCATGTCCTCCACTCGGGGATGATTGAGAAGAGATCCTGTCTTTCCCATTTGTGACAGCCTTTGAAGTACTTGTAGAATGCTATCATACCTCTCCTCCTCTTCTCAAGCCTGAACATGCCCAGTTCTTTCAATCCATCCTAACAGGACTTCATTTCTGATCCCCAGATCATCCTTGCTGCCCTCCCCTGAAGCCCTTCCAGCTTGTCTGCATCTTTCTTAAACTGTGATGCTGAGAACTAGTCACAGTATTCCATTGAGGCCGAAGCAGTGCTGAACAGAGAACTAGTACTAAAAGGAGTTCTCCCAAAGGCAAAATGAAGTTCAGCATGTGGAAAAGGGTTAAAATGGATTCTAGTAAAGACTGGGGGTCCTACGTCGATGGTAAAGCACCTGTTTGCATGCAGAGGGACCCAGGTTCAATCCTGGCATCTGAAGGTAGGGCTGAGAAAATGTAGCCTGAAATCAGAGACCCCT